GTCCCTCTCTGAGAAGGACAGTCTACTGGACTACAGGCTGTCTGCACTGCCTGCTGTCCCTCTCTGAGAAGGACAGTCTACTGGACTACAGGCTGCCTGCACTGCCTGCTGTCCATCTCTGAGAAGGACAGTCTACTGGACTACAGGCTGTCTGCACTGCCTGCTGTCCCTGGGTGCCCAGGCTGGATTCTCACGCTCTGCCGTATGCCTCCCTGTTCTTTATGCATAGGGCCTTCTACCTCAGTCTATCTTGGAATAGAAGGGCTGGCCACCCTGTCTCCTGCTGGCTGGCTGAGTTTATCAGAGGATCTAGGCAGATGTGCCCTGCTTGGATTGGTGACTTAGAACTGCTGCCCAGGACCCCTGTCTTGACACCCACTGTTAAATCTCTTGATGGCCTTTTCAAATCGCAAAAGGCAACAGGAATGACGGGAGCGGGTAAGCTGCTTCTCTGGGGGTTCCCGTGGCTCAGCCTGGTGTGCTGTGTGGTTTGACTGTGGCCACTGAACCTCTAACCCCAGGCTCGGCAAGGTGACCTTGTTTGTTTTTTGCTGGGTGGTGGTAGCACGTCTTTAATCCCAGCTCAGGAGGCAGAGGCAGGCAGATTTCTGAGTTCAAGGCCAACCTGGTCTACAGAGCAAATCCCAGTACAGCCATGGCTACACAAGAAACCCTGTCTCGAAAAACAACAAGCTGATTTGTTTTTGTTTAGAGATGGGGTCTCCAGTTGCCCAGTCAGACCAAGGATGACCTTGAACTCCTGATCAACCTGCCTCTACCTCCCCGTGCTGTGATGACAGTGTGGCTCCTTTATTTATTTGTTATTGAAACAGGATCTCCCCATGTAGTCCAGGCTGGCTTTGAAATTGAGACCAGCCTCTTGCCTCTGAGCTCCAAGTGCTGTGATGACCTGAGTGAGCCACCACCATGTGGCTCAGTGTTTTGATATCACATTTGTCTTACAAACGTCTGTCACAAATACAGGGCTCTTTGGTGCTGGGGCAAGGCTCCCAGTGGACCTCCAAGTCCTGGGGTTTATCCTCAGCACCACAGGAAACCTCCAAACACCACATTCTTCTCAGGACCCCTTTACATTCCTTTTACTTTAAGACAGGGTCTCCCTAAGTTGTCTAGTGTGGCCTTGAACACACACTGTAGCTCAGGCCAGCCTTCAACTTGTGATCCTCTTACCTCAGCCTCCCAGGTGCTGGGATGACAGACCTGCCTTGACCTTTGGATAGGTTGGGACTGTGCCCATGGGCTTGGTGTGTTTGAGGCAGGGGCACCGTCCTGGCCACACACTAAGTTGCTGAAGATCTCTGTCCCCCAGTCTGTTCCCCATGATTGGCAGCAGGCAGAAGGGCACACCTCTGACCCAGGGCCAACGTGGGCCTCACCTTTCACCTGGACAGACTTCTATATTGTTGGCCATACAGGATGAAGTCTGAATTATCTTGATGGGTGTCCAAGTGTCCCTGCTGAACAGGGTTCCAGAGGCAGAAGCCTAGCTGGGGCAGGGTAAGCCGGGGTAAACACGATAGCTCAGCGTAAGTGTGCCCCCAGGACTCCTGAATGGGGGCTTCTCAGCCGGGACCACCTGCCGCTATTTCTCCCCTCCCCTTTTTCTGAGGAAGTGACCCGAGCATTGGCAGGGGTTGGCATTTGTCCGTGGCCTCTTGGCTTCATGTGTCCTCTGTAAGCCAGCTGAGGACTAAAGAGGGTCCCTTAACCCAGACCCAGCAGGAGCCCATGAGGTGGGTGTACATGGAGAGAGCCAGGGAGGGGCCCTTTCTGCTGACCAGGTGATCCAGTGTCAGGCCCCTGCCTTGTGCACATCCTGGCCACCTGGGTGTCACAGCACCATCATCACGGGAGTGGAAAGATTCCTGCCCCAAGCCGAGCCCTGGCCTGCCTATTTCAGCACCCGTGGATCTGTGCTGAGTCCCCTTTCTTCCCCAGCACCTTCCTTTTCCGCTGGCAGTGGCCCCTGGGGCCCGTGAGCGTGCGGGTGGGAGGGGTGTCCTTGTGTGGGAATGTGAGCCGGCTCTGTAAACAGCCTGTGACTCACCACATAGCTATGTCACTGACGCTGGGGTTGCAAGTTGGAAGAGATGCCCAACCCCTCCTCCCTCTTGACGGAAAACTTTCTCAGGGCTCCCGGGCTCCCAGGCGCCTGGCTCCTGAGCGTTCCTAATGGAGTGGCGGAAGCCTGTGACTAACCCAGGGCTACTGTAACCCAGCTGGAGCTGGAGGGGATCTGTGGATACAGACTTTGCCCACATCCCCATGTGGCCCCTTATCTCCATTAGATCACCCCACCAGCTCTAGTCCCACCTCAGGTCCCAGATGGGTAGTGTCAGGATGCATGCTGGTCTACCTGAGCCTCCTCTAGGCTGGCTCTGCCCCTGTCCTGCTCTGCTTGTTGCCATTGCCTCTGAGAGTGACCAGTGATGTCACCAGGGTGCTGGGTGTCTATTGACAGAGTCAATACCTTGTCTCCCGCTGATGGCTTTTTGGCAGTGAGGGTGGTGGGCAATGGAGACAGGACCCCATCAGAGGTGGGATCACAGGGTAGAGAGATCGGGACTCAGGGCCCCAGGTTTGTGGGGGAGGGGACAGTGGAGGTCACCCACTGTCTTGTTCATGCCTGTCCTCTACACTCTCCTTTGTGTGATTTCCCTGACGTCCCTTGTTCTGTGCCTATCTTTGTCAGGGTTTGAAATACAAGAGGTGGGGGTGCATCCCACCAAAGGCCGCCCGGTCCCTCTTGCCCCTTCCCCAGTTGTCAGGGAATGAATGGGTTTGTTTACTGCCTGAGAACCTCGTGTTGTCTTTCTGCACAGGCTTGACCCACAAGTCCCGAATGCTTTTGGGCTTCTCCGTTGCCATGGAGACCATGGGGGGGGTTGGCTACATCCCAAGGTCGCCATGGCAACTATCAGAGGGGAATCATGCTTGGGATGCTTTGGCTGGCTTTTTCATGAATGATGAGGGTGTGTGACACAATGCAGACTGGAGAATGAGAAGGGCGGGCGGGCGGGCGAGGGGGCTGGCGGGCTGGCCACAGGCACAGGTCCTGCCAGACAGCCCAGTGGGTCTGCCAGGTGGCCGCAGTCTCCTGCCTGTGTCTCTGGCTGGATCCTCTGAACTGCTGTCCACCAGTAGCCCCCACCCCACCCACAGGGGCCTTGGGGGTCACTCTGAGGGGCTGGGGCGGCCTGGGAGGAGTGGTGATGTCACAGCTGCAGTGTCCTTCACAGCGGTAGGTGTCCCATGGGTTGCGGGAGGGCGGGGCTGAGGAGGAGTGGCAGGTGCTCTGTACCCATCTGTCTTTGGGGGTGAATGAGGTTTTGGGGGAGGGCCACCCTTCTCCCTGGTGATCCATCAGGAACTCTTCTAAGGGACACTGTCCCAAGACCCTCTTTCAGAGCTGAGTGCTGCAGCTTGCAGAGCGGGCTCTGTTGCTGGCGGGTCCCTCTGGTCCTGAGGATGCAGCACCTGGTACCCCACAGCTGTAAAGACCTTGTCTGAATTTGGGGGGAGCGGGGAGACCCAGAGCAGGAAGCGACAATTTTTCATGGCCCGCAGTTACTCCACAGTGCTGGGATGAGCTGGGATGGGGAACTGGACGGCAGCCCCCATTGACCTAGGGGACCTGTCTGCCCTGGAGCCTGATGCTGGAGCATGAAGTGTGGTTGGGGTTCACTTCTGCCTGCTAGGCAGATATAGCTTGGCCAGGATGCCCATGCCAGATTGCTTAAGACAGTGGTTCTCAACCTGTGGGTCATGACCCCTCTGGGGTTGAATGACCTTTCACAGGGGCTGCCTAAGGCCACCAGAAAACACAAATATTTACATTATGATTCACAACAGTAGCAAAATTAGTTATGAAGTAACAATGACAATAATTTTATGGTTGGGGGTAACCACAACAGGAGGAACTGTATTAAAGGGTGGCAGCATTAGAAAGACTTAGGAAGGCTGAGAACCGTTGTCCTAAGCTCTTGTGAACTGGGTGGGGGACATGTTACTTTGTAACTGAATTGGACTTGTTCTGGAACATGTGGTAGAGTTGCTGACCAGCCATGCTAGGACGGGAACACATCAGCTTACATGTGCATCCACTTTGTTTTGGAACTAAGGTTTTATTGTTACTGTCTTGGGTTGTTGAGAGCAGAGCTGTTTCCAAGTATTGTTATTCAGAGGCCATGTCCTTAGCTTGCTAGGTCCTAACCCACGCTGTTTCTGTGTCTTTCCAGCTACAGTTTCCTGGTGGTTCCGTCCTGGTGACAGGGCCCGGGTTATGACGACTAATCCCAAGCCGAATAAGGCATTGAAGGTGAGGCGGGCTGGGCTAGCATGGGCTGTGGCTGGCACTGTCCTGGCGTGGCACAGGGAAGGCTCATCCTGTCCTGGCAGCCCCGCTTTCACAGCACTGCCCCTTGAAAGTGACGTCAGCTTTGTCCTCAGGAAGTGGGGAAGGATCCCAGGAGAGGTGGGACAGTGGCCCGGAAGAACCTGGCCTTGATGACCAGGGAGGTAGCTCACAGGCGGAGCGGTGGTAAGGCAGGTGCTGAGTAGATCCTAGGCGCTTGGGGCTGCATGCACAGGCCCTTCCTCTGGCCAAGCTCTTCCCCTAGCGCCAGGTTGGCAGAGCGGTATCCTCAGGTGAGCTGGTGTCCCTTCTGCCGGCCCAGGCCCTTCCTACCTTCTGGGCCTTCTCAGCCTCTATCACCTGAGTCAGCTTCCTTGCCTCACAGGCTCCTGCGTGCTGTGTGCTGGGCTCCCTTGAGTGAGCCTTGGCCGGCCAGATTCAGGCTTTGCACCAGTGGGTAGATGTGAGGGAAGGGCAAGGCTACTGTATCGTCCTGTCCTTGCCTAGAAACGCTTGGCCAGAGCATCTGAGGGGAAACATGCCCGTTCCATGTGTGTCTAGAAAGCTTAAGAAGTTGACCAAGACCTTACTTCCCTGTTCAAAGAAGGTTCATAGCAACAGCAGTGGGTAGTTTGTGGCACCAGGCCATGGGCATAATCCGGGAGTCCCGTGCTGCCACCTGGCTGTGGGATGGGAACGCGGGGCAGGTGAGACGCACCGCTGGGCCTTTGTTGTACCGGATCCCAGCCTTCGGTGACCGCCAGGCCCGTGCCCCTGGGTCCCCCTGTGCTAACGCTTGCTGGTCTGGCTCCTTAGGTTAAGAAGGAGGCGGGCGAGAACGCCCCTGTGCTCAGTGACGATGAGCTGGTGTCCATGTCGGTGCGGGAGCTGAACCAGCACCTGCGGGGCCTCACCAAGGAGGAGGTGACTCGGCTGAAGCAGCGGCGGCGCACACTCAAGAACCGAGGCTACGCGGCGAGCTGCCGCATCAAGCGTGTGACGCAGAAGGAGGAGCTGGAGCGGCAGCGCGTCGAGTTGCAGCAGGAAGTGGAGAAGCTGGCCCGGGAGAACAGCAGCATGCGGCTGGAGCTGGATGCCCTGCGCTCCAAGTACGAGGCCCTGCAGACCTTCGCACGCACCGTGGCCCGGGGGCCTGTCACGCCCACCAAGGTGGCCACCACCAGCGTCATCACCATCGTCAAATCCGCCGAGCTCTCCTCCACCTCTGTGCCCTTCTCAGCCGCCTCCTAGTGCCCGCCGGGGCCGGGCCGGGCGCGGGCAGTGGCACAGCCCTCGCGCCTACCCCGGGCTCCCTGGCACAGATTCCCCGTGTCCACTTGCCCACTGTGGACCCTGTGGGGCTGAGGGCAAGGACAGCGGGGACAGGCAGATGCAGGAGAAAAGGGAGGCTCTCGCGAGCCAGTGCCGCAAACCAACCCCCACTCGCATCTCTCCTCCCCGGGGTGTGTTTGTCGTTGCTGACAGGCGCTGCATGGGCCACCACGATGATCAATCAGGCCCCTGTGGCAGGGAGTGAGGACTCGTCTTCCACTTCTCCGGTGCCTGTCCGTCAGCACCATCAGTGCCATCCCCTGAGGGCCTCCAGCTGGGGTGGACACCATACTGTCGCTTTCTGGGCGCTGGCCTTCTCGTCCTTATCAAAGGGCGCTACAACCTGCTTTAGCCCTTAGAGCCAGGTCCGTGTCCTGGGAAACAGTCCCCAATACAGTCACCTGCAGGGGCTAGTACATGTGCTCCTGTGTGTACACAGGCTGCCACCGCAGCCTGTGACGGCAGGAAGCCGCGGGGCCAGGTGGCCACACAGAGCCTGTCCAGTATGTGTGCTGAGGGTTGCATGGATGTCCTGGAATGTCCCTGAGGGTCTGGTAGCTAAGGAGGCTGCCCGTCATGGAGCAGGCCACCTGTCCACAGAGCCAGCCGACAGCGGGGCTTGGGTTCTCTGGGGCTTAGCAGAGGAGAGGCTGGAGGGAGCCCGTGAAGCCTGAGAGAGGTTGAGGGATATGGGAATGGCAGTTAAGATGTGTCTTGTTGCTAGGAAGAACTAGGAAGGAGGTGAAGTCCTGGTGGCCGGGGATGTGGAAGAGGCCTAAGAGACATAGTATGGAGGGACAAAGGGTGCATCTGGAGGGCCTGTGGACACACCCCCTGTGGGTGTCAGCAGGGGCCCAGGGCAGACTGTAGGTGCAGATACTCTGCAGCTTTGGTGCCCAGTTGTTACCCGCCTATTCCTCCTTCATAGAGTTCCGGGTCATTGGCCATCTTGTGCTTTCTTACTGAAGGGATTAAGGCCTCCAGGCCCTGAGGAGTGTGGTGGACAGGGAGTGGGGGGCGGGCTGAGCCAAAGCCAGGCACTTAGAAAGCACTGTTGGAACCATAGCCTTGGTAGGTAATCCATATTGGATATCAATAAGGACCATGGGATATTTAAAGAGAGAGAAGATATATATATATATATAATTATATACACATTTTATCGTACAGATTTTTCATAACAATTTTCTTTCCCAGTTTGATACTGTAGATCTTTATTAATGCAGAGTAGGTTGGACAGTGGGGTGGGGAACTGGCCATGGATGGAGGCCCAGGGTGCCAACAGCTTTCCTCAGTCTTTCTGTGGTGGCGCTGGACATCCTGGGTCACTGGTGAAACTTGTTCCAGCAGGTATCACACTGGATGAGTGGTCTCCAGGGTGGGCTACAGTGCTAGGCAGGTGGCCACTGGCTGTGGGTTGCTGCCCACTCCTGGCCCGTGGTGCCCTCCTGAGCCTTGGAGGCTCCATACTGTCGGCCTTCAGGGTGGACGGGACTTTCATTGCTACCTGGAGCACCCGCGCACCGTACTTGCCTGGAGGGGACTGGGAAGGGTGTGAGCATGCCCCGTGGCTCTATGTCCCTGAAACGTCATCGTCACGATTTAATATATGGATGTTTTTATTTAAGATAAAAGTGAGTTTTCTGTCTTGTTCCTCCAGCTTCTCAAAGCAAGCTTTACTTTTTCAAAGGGTGACAGGGACACATGCTGACCACGCAGAGGCCTAGTGTCCCCAGCCACCTGCTACTTGGCAGTTTCATTTCAATATTTATTTTTTTTGTGCTTCCTCCCCCATGTTATAAATTATTGAGAAGAGATCACAGACTGTTGACCCCCTGTCTGTGCCCCGCCTCATGGCCACCACCTAATTTATTGCTGTACATGTCGCTGTGACTGCTTTTGTATCTTTGCAATAAAGAATTTCCTGTTTGAGATGCTTCCGGTGTGTGGATGGTGATGTGGGTGGGAACCCCGCATCCTGCCCTACAGCCTGGGCTGGCCCTTCCCTGATGAGGCTCAGTTTTCTCTTCTGCACCTGATCCTCCCTGGGAGCCTCCTGGGATGCAGGGACTACCACAAGGTGACACCTTCCACCTGCACTTGTGACTCACCTGCAGATATGTCTGAATGTCCAGGCTACCCTAGCAAGAGGCCTTTGATGGCCAATGCAGCCTGTGCTTTATAGTTGGGAACCTCGGGGACCTGAGCCACCCCTTCCTCAGGGTGGGCCATGTCACCTGCTTGGCCCCTGAACACTGTTGAATGGGGTCTAGGATGAACATGTAGGACATTGCAAGAGGGGCAGGGTGTCAGGGCACAGGGCAGTGCAATGTCCATTGAAGCTAACAGAATGCTCTTCTGAGTCTGAGAGCTGAGGACATGATTTGGTAAAGCGCTTGCCTTCCAAGTGTGAGGACCTGGGTTCAATCCCTAGAAGCCACACACGATAGCCAGGTGCACATTTGTGCTCTCAGTGTTAGGGAGGCAGAGACAAGTAGACCTCGGGGGCTCACGGGCCAGCTGGCCTTAGGCTACTTGGTGAGTTTCAAGACAAAGTCTCTGGCTAGGCCAGATTTCTCTCCAGCTGACCCCAGAATCTGGCTCCAGCCTATATAGCCTACTGTCCCTGAGTGGCAACCAGCCTCTGTGGGCAGACGGACTATAGAAGGTCCACTCGTGGCACACCCACACCAGGTCCACTCTGGGGCCCTCAGCACAGTGTAGACCACTTCAGGTTTTACTTGGGTTGCCTCACACACAGGGACCAGAGGTCAGGACAGGTTCAAAACGGCAGAAGCCCTTCATCATGGCTCATGCCTGTAAATCCCAGTAGTTAGGAGGAGGAGGTGGCGGGATCACTCCCAAGTCCGAGGGTAGCCTTGGCTACGTAAGAGTTTGAGGTTAGCCTTGGCTACATAGTGAGTTCCAGGCCAGCCTAGGCTACAAAGTAAGACCCTGTCTGAAGGAGTGGGGGCTAGTGTGATGGATTAGTAAAGTGCCTGCCATGTAAATGTGAGGACCCGAATTCAGATCCCCAATACCAACACAGAAAACTGTCACGTGTGTAATCCCAGCAATTGTAGGGGTGAAGACAGGCAGATCTCTGGGGCTCACTGGCTAGCAAGCCTAGCCAAACTGATGAAGTTCTACGTTCAGTGAGAGATCCCGTCCCAAAAATTAATGTGAAAAATTACTAAGGAAGACATCCAGAACTGACGTCGGACCTACTTACTAATGTATACACACACGCATATATGCCTGCACACGAAATAGCAGGTTGTGCCAGGGTGAGCCCAGTGACTGCTTGGCAAGCGGCCCCCTCTTGGGCCCCGTAGGCTGGACTTGCAATTGGTCCTTAAGCCAGGGCGATGAGACCGAAGCCTTCCTCTTCTCCTGGTACTCCAATTGCTCCCCATCATTTTTTGAGCACCTCAGCCTGGCCGGATTCTTCTGACTCAGTCCGTAGCCGCATTCCACCAGAGCCCTGGGTGCCATGTTATCCCTGGCCCAGCTTTGCTATGTGTCAGAACGTAGGTGGTGGGAAGAGGGAAGCAAGGCTTAGTGACCCCTACTGGCATCATCCCCTACTGGCTTCATTTCTTAACTTGTTTCATTTCTTTGGTTGGCACACCTTCCCCCAGTACCAGGGTACAGAGGTTCCTGGTGCGTGTGTCGGGGTTTTGCGATGTTAATTTTTGCCTTCTCTCTAAAGCACAGACCCCAGCTACTGCCCCAGGCCCAGGAACTTCCTTTGTACCTGGGCTGGTGGGAGGGGACCCTTCCTAGCTCGTGGCTGCACATGGCCTCTCCAGGGCAGAGGAAGGCAGCCCCCTGCTGGCCGAGCCCTAAGCCTCCTCCTCCTCTCATATTTGAAGGCCAGCACTGAGCCTGTCACTGTCTAGAGTGTAGGTCTCTGGGGAGTACAGAGCCCCTCCCGGCCCTGCTGACTGTGTGGGCTGCAGGGCCACCCTGCGGGCCTGCCAGTCCCAGAAGGCAGATAAGTAGGCGTGGGTGGCTTTTTACAGCCAGGTGCAGGGAGGAAGAGCGTCTATCTTATCAGCCCAGAAGGGTTAGCGAGAAGCCGCTGGCCTTGGCTCCTCCTGTCTCTGGGCCCAGAGAACAAGAAGGCAGGGAAGTGCACCCCTCTGATCTGATACTGTGGGCTGTGGGAGCCGGCCACCGGGCAAGTGATGCTTGCTGGGTGCCCGCCTGGGCAGCAGATCGCTGACTCCCTCCCTGTTTCCAAGGACAGTCTAGCCTATCTCGGACACCCTGAGCACTGGACCAGGTACACAGGAAGAGGAAAGAGAGAAGGGGGTCTCCCAGGCCTGAGTCCCTGTACCAGGGCAGGCGAGGCTGCACCACAGGCCTCATAAACCGCTTCAGGGTGTGGCCAACCTGCGGTTCAGGGGGAGGTGACTGCTCCTATTGTGGTACCGAGCCGGCCATCTAGGGGCAAAGTCCACACTCTTTGCCCTGTACTGCTTGAGCCACATCATGACGTCCGCCTTGGCTGTTTCTGACACCCAGCCTCCCTCTGTGGGCCCCAGCGAACCCACTACTTAGTGATGCATCGCTCAGGGGACAAGCCCCGCAAGAAAAGAAAGCCCAACAGACTCTAGAAAATGCAAGGCGTTTATCTATAAATAAGCAGTTAGTAGCTGGCAGGCTGGCGCACTGGCAACCCTGTTGTGCTAGGTAGCCTTGGCTGCCCCTGGGAGCACCTCGCCAAGGATCTGTGCTAGAATGCGGGGCAAGGGGCCTTTTTCTTGCACCCAAGATAGCCACTGCCAGGCCCAGACTATGTGGCTCCCCAGCCCTGAGTGACTGGGCCCATTCTCCCTGGCCATTTCTCTCTGCAGCGACACAGCCTGGGATCTAACCATCCGTTTCTTCTGCCCCGGGAAGGAAGGGCCAACTCACAGTTCCACCTGCAGGCTGTAACTAAGGCATCTCACTGGGTCCTTGGGTTTGTCCGGTTCGCCCAGGTAACTTTACTCTGGGCTATACATGGAATAGAGAGGCCCCCATGCGCCCCACAGTAAGCTCTCAGGAGAGGCTGGGCCTCCGTTAAGAGATGCTGATGGGTGGGTCCTCAGCTAGGCTCCGCACACCCCACACCCCCTACAGGTCCTCTGAGGGAATCAGCATGCGTTTCTCTAAGTTGCGACTCTTCTTACCCCCTCCGGAGCCACTGGCCGGGCCAGGGTGGGTGCTGGGCGATGGGTGCCCACCCTGGCCAGGCCCAGGGGCTTCGTGGGTGGACTGCTGTGTATACTGCTGGTATGCCGGCGAGAAGTTATGAATGGCATCCTGGACGATGTCCTGTGGGCTGATGGTCTCCTTCAAGCCGCTGGATATGCTTTGCAGAGGCGCTGGTAGGGCTGGAAGGTAGAACACGCGGGCCTGAGTCGCAGGTCCCCTGGTCCACGGCACCCCACTCCATCTACGCGGTCCGTCAGCCCTGCCTCTCACAGGCCACCTTGGGCTATGTGGGTTTGGGGGATCCTGCATGCCCAGGCCTTGCCATTGGCTAGCAGGTGACCTCAGACCCAAGACCCAGCTTAGTTCCTGCATCTCAGCATTGGCCTATCTCCTGCCCAGGGGAGGAAGCCTTTCACCTTGAGCAGGTGGGAGCCAGGCAGCCACCAGCCATACAGCTAATACAGCACATTCACTAGAGCAGTCAACCCAGCCCCTCTTGACACCCTCCCCAAGCACCAAGGAGACCTAAGAGAGCGGCTCCCTCTATCCACATCTTTCAGAGCTCACAATCCCCCTTTGCCTGCCTGGCCCACACACCTACAGGGATGTCCTTCTGATCAGTGCTGGACATCATGGCCGAGCCTTTGCAGGTAGCCCCGGTTGGTGGGGCCCAGCTCACCTGGTGAGTTCTTCTTCTCTGAGTACACCTGGCTGGGGAAGGCATAGCGCAGCGCAAGTGAGGCAAACAGCATCTCGATACAGATGAGGAAATTCTGGTAGCCAGCGGCGAGGGTACCAGCCCCCACCCTGGTGCCGTCCACGGCCTGGACCTCGGGGATGACGCCACACCTCTCCAAGATGGCCAGCAGCATTCCTGGAGACAGAGACAACCATCCAGGCCCCATCCTTGGATGGAAGCTGAGCCCTGCCCAAGTTCTTACTGAAGCCCAGGGTATGCAGGGAAAAGGGCTAGCCTCATCCCAGGGTTTCTTTAATACTGACCACATTGGTGGGGAGATTATGGTTGAGAAGGGCTGGTTACCTCAAAGTCAGGGTTCCTATTGCTCTCCCAGACATATCCAGCTTGGGCCTGGGGACCCCTGCTCTTATGCTAATGGCCATGGGGACTGAGTTCTCATGGCCTGCTGGGGTCTTGGTGGGGACCAGGGCTCAGGAAGCCCAGGCAGAGCCTCCTTCTGCTGACAGATCTCATTGGGTCCCCATCTGCAGGCTCTGCCAGCTCCAAACTGAGCCGCCGAGCTGCTGACTTTTGGTAAGGTTAGGGAAGCTGAGGCGCACAGGGCTGGGAGGGAAGTGATATCTGAACCCAGGGTCCAGGGATGCCGGTCCTGGCCCCACAGCCTCGCCCACTCAGCTCACCTACCCTGCCAGAAGGAGAGGAAGATGATGGCTTTGATGGTGAGGAACTTGAGCACCGGCTCGAAGGGCCTCAGGAGGTCCCTGGTCGCGAAGTAGAAAAGGAACAGAGCGTAGAGAGCCAGGCTAACCGAGGCGTTGTACACGAGGCTCACGTACAGGTAGCCACTGTGGATGCTGGGCCAGAGGAGGTGCTGGTTAGAAGAGTCCCTGGCCCTCACAACGTTCTTTTAGCCTGTCCCCTGGCTGGGCACCACAACGCAGACAGTGCCACCTGGATCCTCCCTCCAGGGCCTCAGACAGGGCCAAAGGGAGCAGCGGTTGGGGCCAATGGCTCCCCATCAGGAGCAGGGCATGGTTCAGGCCCCTCCCTGAGTTGTTGCCTGTCCTCCTGGGCACCCCCACAACCTTAGCAATGTCTTATTTTTTTTTAAGGCAGGATCTCATGTAGCCCAGGCTGGCCTCAAACTCATTATATAGCCAGGGATGACCTCCAGCTTTTTAATACTCCTACATCAACCTCCCAAGTGTTGGGATGACATATGTGTACCACTACATCTAGTTTATATGAAGTTGGGGATGGAACCCAGACATCCATGCTAGGTAAACACTTTGCCAACTGAGCGACAGCCCACAGAGAGGGGGATAAGGCCGCTTGAGGAAGGCCCTGTGGGGAGCCCTGCCTCCCGTGGCCCTAGTGGGGCGCCTGCTCATAGCCCCCTCTTACTTGAAATCCCCGTCATGGTATTTGTCGAAAGCCTGGAGGATGATGGTGATCAAAGCCATGACTGGTTTCACGATGCAGAACTGTAGCGTGGCCTGGGAGGGGTGGAGGAAGGGAGTCGGGCTGGGATGGAGTGGGGCAAGGGCATCCAGGTGGGGAGGGCAGGCCCCCTTACCTGTTTGCAGAAACGTAAGAAAGTGATGGAGTAGGACATGCCGTGGAGGCAGCAGGTCCCATAGAAGCAGCTGGACCTGCATATGAGGAAGAGGAGGTCATTAAGGCCACTAGGAAGACACCTGGGGGCTCTTCGGCATGGCCTGGCTGGGCCCCAGCCAGGGCAGGGCCTGGGGTGGACTCACCTGATAGGTTTACCACGGATCTCAGCCATGATGGCGCTCTCTCCCCCCAGATACTGGAAGCACAAGGTCAGGAAACTGTAGATGACAAATGCTGCCAGGGGACAAGGGGTGACAGTGAGGGTCGGCCATGGAACCCCTCTGCATGCAGGCACCACCAGATCCACTCTGCATACCCGGGGGATGGGGACGGGGAGGTGGTGGTGCAGGGGCAAGCTTACTCGGACTGTGAATCCCAGGGATCGAGGTTGCAAACTGTGCAACCCCAAAGCAGGTCCCAGATGAGACAATCACCTTTGGGGACGGTGGGGGAAGTGCGTGTAGGTAGGTGCATGTGTGTGAGGCTGAGGGTCCCCGCTGAGCTCCCCCAGGCCCAGCCTGGAATGTCACCTTCGTAGCAGTCTCTCACAGAGTCGAAGTATACGTAGTATGGATGGCCCCCGAGGAGGAGGAGGCTGAGCCATGAGTCGAAGGCGTAGATGGGCACAATGAAGAGGAGGCGGATGACGAACCGCTGCTCTCGCGGGACGGTGTAGGAACGTAGGTGGGAGTAGATCTGCGGCAGAAGAGATTCGGTGGCACCTCTGTCCCCGCTCCGGGCCCTGCTGTCCATGACGTGGGTGCCAGCCCGAATGCCAGAGGAACTGTAGCCAGACAGAGCTCCAGGCTGCCCTCCCTCTCCCACACTGCCTAACGTTCTACTGAGCACAGGACGAGCACACAGAGAGTGGAGGTCATCAGAGGTATGTTGTAGCACATATTTTAGATGAAGAGTCAGCCCTGCTTATGACGGGAGCATCCTGGGTGGGTGCAAGACCAAGTTAGCATCCCTGTCTCCAACTAGAGAGTAGGGCTGGGGAGGTGGCTCGGTTGGTAAAACGCTTGCTTTGTAAGCATAAGGACCTGAGTTCAAATCCCCAGCACTCACGGACAAAAACTAGATATAATAATGCATGCCTGGAATCCCAGTTCTGGGGAGGCAGAGACACTGGCCAGCCCATACAGCTGTATCAGGGAACTCCAGGTATCATAGAGAGACTGTCCCTTAAAAGCAAGGTAGATGATGGGTGGCAGTGGCGCACGCCTTTAATCCCAGCCCTCGGGAGGCAGAGCCAGGTAGAGCTCTGTGAGTTCGAGGCCAGTCTGGTCTACAGTGTGAGATCCAGGACAGGCACCAAAACTACATGGAGAAACTCTGTCTCGAAAAACAAAAAACAAACAAACAAACAAACAAACAAACAAAAAAAGCAAGGTAGACGGCGCCTGAGGAATGACATTGGAGGTTGACTCTGTCCTACACACACATATACACACACACCACACAAAGAAGATTGAAGTATGCCTCAGTGTTAGAGCACCTACCTAGTGAAGGGCAGGGGCATGGCTAAGGTAGAGAGAGTCCTTGCCTAATAAGAACAAGTCTCTGAATTCAATCTCTAGGACATGCCCCCTCTAAATTGAATACATGCTTATTATATATAAATATCTATTAAATTTGTTTTTGCTTTTGAGGCAGGTATAGTCTGACTCACTATGTACTCTTGGCTGACTAGGAATTCACTATGTAGACCAGGCTATCCTTGAACTAATTGAGATTTGCCTGCCTCTGCTTCCCGAGTGCTAGGATTAAAGGTGTGAGAAGACACCACAGCCGGTTTTACTCTTTTTTGGGGGACCCACCACCCAGCTCCCAAATGAATCACACATGGAGGCTTAGTCTTACTTATGAATGCCCAGCCTTAGCTTAGTTTCTAGCCGACTTTCCTTATCTTAGATTATCCTGTCTACCTTTTCCTTTTCTATTCCTGTATACATTTCTTTGTTTCTTATTCCGTGGCTGGCTGTGTAGCTCAGTGGCTGGCCCCTGGAGTCCCTTCCTCCTCTGGCTGCTAGATTTCTCCTTTTCTTCCAGATTTCTCCTTCTACATAGTCTCTCTGCCTGTCAGCCCCGCCTATCCTTTCTCCTACCTTGCTATTGGCCAGTTCTTTATTAGACCATCAGGTGTTTTACACAGGCACAGTAACTAACACATTTTCACAGAGTTAAACAAATGCAACATAAACAAAAGTAACACACCTTAAAATAATATTCTACTACATTTCCCCCTTTTTGTCTAAATAAAAATGAAGGGGTTTTAACTTAAACATAGTAAGACTATATACAATAACAATTATCAAGTAAAGATTATATTCACAATATTCTGTAAATTTGTAGTTAACATATTCAGAGAAGCCGGGAGGTGGTGGTGCACGCCTTTAATCCCAGCACTCGGGAGGCAGAGCCAGGTGGATCTCTGTGAGTTCGAGGCCAGCCTGGGCTACCAAGTGAGTTCCAGGAAAGGCGCAAAGTTACACAGAGAAACCCTGTCTCGAAAAACAAAACAACAACAACAACAACAACAACAACAACAAAACATATTCAGAGAAAATAATGCATTATTTATCCTAGCTTAGTGAATCCAAAATTTTACACCTAATTTACTTTCTAACATAACTAAGGAAAACAAACTATAACTATCTAGACTTCAACTCCATCATAGGCCAAGAAGGATGTAATATTATCTAACAACAGAGACATTTGGCTGTCTGGACAATTACCCAAAGTTCCTCTGCAACATTGGGGCATCCATCTTCAGCCTACAGGACTAGAGTATCTGGCAGACTTTTCTATGAAGCTGGAATTTTGAAGGACTGTCCTGCCTTGTTTTGGCAAAGTTCAACAGTCTTTTTCCTGTGTATCCTGCATGTCCAGTCTGTACAGCACATTGTCAGCAGTCAAAGACAAGAGCAGTTTCTTTGCCCAGTGGCTAACCTTGCCACAGTGAAAGCAAACTCCATAAGGAGTTTCTTCAATGTCCACCATCTTCTCTGAAGCACATTTGGTGCTGCCAGGAGCAGATGTGTCTCATTGTCATGAAAAACTTTAAGTTAACAAAACATTTTAAATGCCATATTCTATAGGTATTTGAAGACCATCTATCTAAAATATAAATGTTTTAACCTAGAAAACATACCTAACATATCTACAAATTTGATTGTTATAAATGACTACTGACCTATGTTTCCTGATTATCCTATATGGCTTGTTTGTTTGTTTGTTTGTTTTTGTTTTTCGAGACAGGGTTTCTCTGTGTAGCTTTGCGCCTTTCCTGGGACTCACTTGATAGCCCAGGCTGGCCTCGAACTCACAGAGATCCACCTGGCTCTGCCTCCCGAGTGCTGGGATTAAAGGCGTGCACCACCACTGCCCGGCTCCTATATGGCTTTTAATAACTTTCAAAAACTAGAACTTTGCCTTACAGTCCAAATGAACTGCATAGATACAATACCTCAAACAAAAATAGAAACATACATACAATATGTTGTAACAAAAATAATCTTAAATTTGAATCAATATACAAAAATCCTTTAAACAAGAGTATAGACACACATACAGTGTAATAAAAATAACTTTAAATTTGCATTAATGTTCTATATTCCCCTAAATGATAACAAACATCCATAAGTCAGCAAATAACCAAAAGCCACACATACCCCACCCAACTCTTGGGAATGTGGGTGTTGTTTTCTCCATACTTCTTCCTGCTGTCTGTTGAAGAAGTATCTTTAGGGTCCCAGAGAGAAAATTTTAAGATAATGACCAAGTCCTGGGAAGACCAGCAGTAACCTTTGCTGATAGAGATCACCTGTCAAGTCTCAGGAGGTCTCTCCTGATCAAACCTGATCCATATTAACCCTGAGGGAATCCACAGCCTCTCACCTCCTGTGGGAACAAAACTCTAAAGCATTTTTTTGATTTCTATTTGACAAATATATTTTTTGACTTATTTTTTAAAGTTAAGGCTTTTCTAAAATATCTAGGCTGGTTCAATTTAGCAGTCCAGTTCACAATCCCACTCGTCCTAGCAGCTGTCCTTTGCTTCTCAACAGTTAAAAAATTCAAAATCAACACAGGAACAAACAGGATCCAGACTGCCTGTGTATTTCCCATCTTCCGTGGCTTTTTTCTTTTACCCTCTCTTTAAAGACTTTATTTTATAAACTATTCTTTTTTGTTTGTTTGTTTGTTTTTTTTTTGTTTTTGAGACAGGGTTTCTCTGTGTTGACCAGGCTGACCTTGAACTCACAGAGATCCGCCTGGCTCTGCCTCCCGAGTGCTGGGATTAAAGGCGTGTGCCACCACCGCCCGGCTAGCAGCACCTCTTAAAGGAGCTGTATCTTTTTTTTTTTTAAATTTTCTCAGGCCCTGTGGAAATACGAGCCCCAGGTTGGACAACAAATTGTTGTTTTGTTGTTTTTTATTCCTTTTTTGGGGGAGGGGAGCGCCACCCAGCTCCCAAATAAATCACACACGGAGGCTTAGTCTTACTTATGAATACCCGGCCTTAGCTTGGCTTAGTTTCTAGGCAGCTTTCCTTGGCTTAGATTATCCCATCTACTTTTTGTCTCTGGGCTTTTATCTTTCTATTCCTGTATACTTTTGTTTCTTTTTTTGTTTGTTTGCTTTTTGTTTGTTTGTTTGTTTGTTTGTTTGTTTGAGACAGGGTTTCTGTGTAGCTTTGGAGCCTGTCCTGGATCTCGCTCTGTAGACCAGGCTAGCCTTGGACTCACAGAGATCCGCCTGGCTCTGCCTCCTGAATGCTGGGATTAAAGGCATGTGCCAATACTGCCTGGCCTTTCTTTGTTTCTTACTCTGTTGCTCTTGTGTAGCTGGGTGGTTAACCCCTGGAGTCCTCCTTCTCTAGCTGCTAGATTTCTCCTTTTCTTCCAGATTTCTCCTTCTGTATATTCTCTCTGCCTGCCAGCCCCGCCTGTCTTTTCTCCTGCCTTGCTGTTGGCCAGCTCTTTATTAGACCATCAGGTGTTTTACACAGGCACGGTAACATAGTTTCATAGAATTAAACAAATGCAACATAAACAAAAGTAACACACCTTAAAATAATATTCTACTACAAGCCAAGGTGTTATTGAATTTAGCCCAAAGTCTCCCACAGGCTAAGCAAGTGGTTTCCCATTGAACTATATCTTCAGCTCTTTATTTTTTTTTTTTTTTTTTTTTTTGGTTTTCCGAGACAGGGTTTCTCTTGTGTAGCTTTGCGCCTTTCCTGGATCTCACTTGGTAGCCCAGGCTGGCCTCGAACTCACAGAGATCCGCCTGCCTCTGCCTCCCGAGTGCTGGGATTAAAGGCGTGCGCCACCACCGCCCGGCTCTTCAGCTCTTTAAAATGGTATCAGTGGGCAGAGAGTGTGGCTTAGAGGGAAAGCACTTGTCCAGCATGTCTGAAGCCCCAGGTTCAATCCCCAGTACCACAAAGGAAAAAAGTATTTGCGATTGACAAATCGCAAAGGTGCACTGAGTACATGCCATATGTGTGGGTGCCTGTGGAGGCCAGAAGAGGGCATCAGATCCCCTGCAGCTGGGGTTAGAGTCAGTTGAGAGACACCCAAATTGGGTGTTAGGTCCTCTGCAAGATCATCAAGTGCTCCTAACTGCTGAGCTATCTCTCCAGCCCCCCCTAGTCCTCTTTTTACTCTTAGCAGGAGTGGAAGAGGTCTGAGTCCAGCATCATCCCTCAGACACCACTCTCATATTATGGGATGAGATCTCTCACTGAACCTGGAGCTCATTGACTTGGCTAAACTTACAGCGGGCTAGTGAGTTTCAGGGATCTGATCGGTCACCCCTCCTTGGGGTTATAGATGTGACCCGCCGTGCCTGGCACTTTTTGGTGGGTCCTAGAGATAGAGCTCTGGTGCCCAGGCTTGCATGGCAGTGCATTCACCAGCTGAGCCACCTCTTGTTCTGACAGACACATAAAAGGCTGAGACCAGCCAACCTCACGCCTTACTTGCTTCTGTGACGTGGTGTAAGATCTTAAAAAGAAAAAAAATCACTGTTGTTGCTTTTGAGACAAAGTCTCACTATGAGGCCCAAGTTGACCTTGATCCTTCTACCTCAGCCCCCCTAGTGGTGAGGTGACAAGCTTGTCCATCATACCAAACCTAAACTTCATTCCTTAGGCATTTTCAAGTCTGTAACGTATTTTGATATCCTGTGGGGTCATCTTGAAGAACATTCCAGAAGTCAGGACACTCATTCACTCATCCAACAAGAGGTTCTTGAGTCCTGTTAAGTGTTAGAACTCAGTAAAGAGACTTAAATGTCCCCTGTAGCACAGGTAGGCTCTCAACTTGGGGACCGTGGAAGGCCTCTTGTTCTTTGACCCCTTCTAGGAATCTGCCCCTATGCAGAAATAAAGAGGAAAGAAACTGTGTGCAAAGAGGTTCATCACAGTGAAATACGGGAACAAATGCTGGAGCTATGCTCAGCATGTGAGGCCTGGCTCACACCATAGGGCCTGTGTGCAAAGGAATACTATACAGTCAGTAAAAATGATGCTCAGATGCACAGCTCTATGGGTAGTCCTCTGATAGGATGAGGCACCTGAGAGCAGAACAGGAAACCAAGCAGGGTTTCAAGTATCATCCATGTCTAACAAAAACGGAAGGAAAGGGCTGGGGATGTGGTTCAGCTGGTAGAGTGCCTGCCTAGCATGGAGGAAGCCCTGGGCTTCACCCTCAGCTCCATATAAACAGGGAGGTGTGATCAACACTGTCATCTCAGTACTTGCGAAATGGAAGAAGGAAGATCTGGAGTTCAAGGTTATCCTCTGCTATGCAGAGAGTTTGAAGCCATCCTGGGCTACAAGACGCTGTCACAAACAAAACAAAACAAAACAACCAAAGAGCAATCCAGGAAGGTGATTATACACTGTTCATCTTCAAGTTTTCTGAATTTTCTGTATTTTTCTACAGAAACAGAACAGGAACATACCCCACCCCCACCCCGTTGTAGGACTAGAACCCAGGACCTCCTGAGTGCTCAGTCAGCATTCTACTGCTGGGCCACTCTATTACCTTTGTTTTATTTTTTCGGGAGCGGGGTGTCTCACTAGCTTGTTCAGGCTGGTCTTGAACACACTGTGGACCCCAGGGAGGCCTTCACTTATGACACTCTGAGTCAGCCTGTGCCCTAAGCCCCTCTGTACAGAGTCTTCCTACTTTTGTTTTTTTTGGTTTTCGAGACAGCGTTTCTCTGTTTAACAGCCCTAGCTGTCCTGAAACTAGCTCTGCAGACCAGGCTGGCCTCAGTGGGCTGGGAGCTGGCTGCCTCCTCCCCTTCCTGGCCACTGTGGGGAAGGCTCTTTTGGAGAGATGCCCTGTGCGGCGTGGAGGTCACGTTGTTAGAAGGAGCTGTGTGTGTGCAGGGGCCGCGTGGGGTGCGAAGGCTGCTGGCGTCAGAGACCAGCTCCTTATCAGTCCTTCCCTCCCTCCCCAGCCTCTGAGGGAGGACATACTGTGACCAGCCAGCACGAGACCTTTCCCAGGCTAGCACTGCCTGGCTGGTGACCTTGGCAAGGTGCTGCCCTCTCTTGCCTCAGTTTCTCCATTTGTAAATAGAGATGTTGATCCCCTCTCTGTCTAGCCCCTACCCCTTCCCAGAGGTCACTCCACTGACCCTAGCATGTGGCTGACACCTGCCTGGCCTGCCCTCAGGCGCGGGTCTATCTCCCGTATCCTGGTTACTGAGGCACACCTGGCCAGGTACCAGCCAGCAAGCAGGTGGCTGTCACAGGCAGAAGTGTTTGCTCTTTACTTCCTGCCCCCGCTCAGGCCCTCCCCTGAGTGCCAAACGGGTGTTCCAGAGGTCCTGCCTGGGGCTTTCAGCTCCTTGTACCAGGCTCCAGTTCCTCAGCTTTCTGGTTCTATCTCCCCAGTTACCCCCATATTCCAGCTGTCCATCTTCCTTCCCCAGTTTTCCACTCTGCCTGACCACCCCCCACCCCCAGCTCCTTCCTCCCGCCACTCTCCCAGCTCCCCACCTCTCAGCTCACTGCCCCCAGCATCCCTCCAGTTCCCCATAGTCCTGCTTCCCATTCCTCTCAGTCTCCATTCCCCTAGCTCCTTCCCCCGTCTTCCCGCCCCTCCTCCCTGAATTCTCTGGGTCTGGCTTGAGGTTCTCTGTAAAGCAAAGTCCAGGCCTTGGAGGGAAAAGGCCCTTTCTCTTCCAGCTGTGTGAGCCTGGGGATGCTTCTAGTCATGTCCGAGCCTTCGTGGTCTTGTCTGTGACCTGGGATCAATCACTGACCTCAGGGAGCAGAGTGAGAGACCTCAGACATGAGTAGGGGTGCCCACCCAGCAAACTGCCCTCTGCCTGGCAGAGACCTCTCCCACCTTAGGTTTTGCCCCTGCATGTAAGCCCTGGAGAAGGGCCCTAGACGGATACCACACCTAGGGTGTCCAGTACTGGGGGCTGTCCCTGGAGGTCCCATGATCCCAGCATCTGTCCATGGGGGCCATCGGAGCTGTGCCAGGTCCCATAAAGAGCTTGAGGCCCAGCAGGGTTTTGGGGGTGCTTACCTGGTGGCAGGTTAGGAGCAGAGCAGTCCATACAAATACGCCTGAAACGCCTCGGGCCAATGCGCTGGTGAGGAAGAGCTGGGGGGGTCCTTGTGAGCCATTGTCCACGCGCTCCATCTGCGGCCCGGCTGCCACTGCGGGCATTGCCGGAGGGGGGCTGGGCGGAAGCCAGGTCGCTGACACCAGGGGAGCTCCGGCTGTTTTCAGAAACCCTGATGCATTGCTCATCTGCAGAAGCCAGCAGAGGAGTGAGGGAGGACCCGGGGCAGGCTCGTGGGAGTGTGAGGGGCAGGAGGTGGGCAAGGCCATGTGGGTGTCACCCAGGGGCCGGCTCTGCCCACTGCAGTTTCTGCTTGCCTGGCCACTATCCCTAGCACCCCACCCACCATCCACAGAGGGTTCCCTGGGGGCCCACCGTGGCCACCTGTTCCCTTTGTGGGGGTCTGCCCTGACTTTCTCACCCCCTCCCCTGACTCTGGGCAGCTGTGGGCTAACACTTGAGGGACAGGGACCTGGCTGCTTTCCTGCCTGGGGCTCAGATCCTAGATGGATGCCCTGGGAAGCCCCTTCAGGTTCCTTTGTGCCCTGGGCTCTCTTCCTAGGAGTCTAACCAGGTGGCCATGGCACTGAGGCAGGAGGACTGTGAATCTGTAAATATAAAGCCAGCCTAGGCTAGCTACCTAGTTAATTTGTTTCAAAAAAGGGAAAAATATCTCCAAACATACCCAAACTCGGAAACTTGTTTCTACCATAGTCTGGGAAGGAGGGATCCACCTGCCTGGGTCGTTTGGGAGGGAAGGCCAGTAATTATACCTCCCAGCAGGAGAAGGTGCTCCACCCTCAACCCCGGTGCCAGTCCACCCCCACCCCCACCCCACCCCTGCCTGCCTTTGACCCTGACCGAATACTCCTTAGTGTCTCCATAAGCGGCAGCAGCAACCAGCAGAGCATGTGCCTGCCTCCCCCAGGCAGCGACTTTGGGCCTCCTTCCCAGCCTCTGCTGTCTGCCACGGGGGCGGGTGCCTACCTCTGTGAGCAGGAAGCTCTTTGGCCCAGGCCTGGGAGGCCTAGCCTCCCCCGGGGAAGCCTGGCTGGTCATTCGCGCGGCCACATGGCCCCCACTGAAGGCCAGGCTTCGAGTTGGGGCAAGGCTGGTCTCCGGAGGGTTGCGCTAGGCCAGGAAAGGGACACAGGGCCTCACCTGGCCAATGGCCCACCTGGGCTTCGGGCTGAGGGAGGGGCAAAGGGAGGAGAAGCCACGGCTTGTCCCCGCCCCTGTGGACCGACACTCTATCCCTCCGGGGCTGTTTGCTCAGCAGCTGCAGCGGCAGCAGCGGCAGCAGCAGCAGGCTTCCAGGAACTGCCTGGCGGGCAGGTGCCTTCACCTGCTGGCACCAGGCTGGCAGGCAGCTGAGCAGCCAAGGACAGGAGGGAAGGGTGCGCGTGAGCTGCGCCAGCTCGAGGGAGAAGGCCATGGGTATTCACGGATTTTTTGGATGGTGAGAAAGTTCTAGAACTAGACGAAGTGGTGGTTGCCTACTGTGGGCATCCCTACTGCTCCAGAATTGTGCACTTCCACCTGGGCAGGGCCGAGGATGCGGCTCAGTTGGTGGAGTGCTGGCCCAGCACCCGTGAGGCTCCAGGGAGTCATTCCCTCCCTGTGTGACATGAACCAGGCATGGTGGTGGTGTGTGCCTGTTTCCCCAGCGCTTCCGAGGCGAAGGCAGGAGGATCAGAAGTTCGAGGTTGTCCTCGCTACATTCTGCTTTAGACCAAACTGGGTTCTATGAGAGCCTGTCTCACTGAGAGAACTAATACACATATTCATTAATGCATATACAAATGAGTAAAACAATAGAAATAAAAATGGGTAAATTTAACCAAACCTCATTGGCACAGGCCTGTCATCCCAGCTACTTGGCAATCTGAGGCAGGACAGGTAATTCAAGACCGGCCTAGGATACAGAGCAAATTCAAGACCAGCTTGGGCCACTTAGTGAGACCCTATCTAAAAACAAAATGTAAAATGTGTGCTGGGAATGTAGTTTATCTTTAAACTATCTGCCTAGAATGCCCCAGTGAGGGGCTGGGGTGTGACTCAGTGGTAGAGCCCCTG